ACAATAAGCTTGGATTTAAAAAAAAAACACTTTTTTCACTGTTATAGATTGAATAGCAGTCAGTGTCCTTAAAGCGGGTGTGTTACGCTAACAGTGGATACGGTGACCAGTGCCACCACTTAGATCTGGTGTCACAATAGCTTGGATTTAAAAACAAAAAACTATTTTCACTGTTATAGATTGAATAGCAGTTAGTTATCTTCAAGCGGGTGTCAGGCCTACAGCCTGTGCTCTGCACAACTGTGCCAGTGCACATTGCCACTCATATCTGGTCTCACAGTAGCTTGCACGCATAGTACCACTAATCCCAGCAAAAATGACAGGCAGAGGCAGGCCACCCCGCAGGGGCCATCGTGGTCGTGGTGCTGTGATTCCCTTTGGCCCTAGAATGATGCCCAGTTTTCAGAGGCCACGTACCCTGAACTTGAAAAGTTCTGAGGACATAGTTGACTGGCTAACACAAGACACCCAATCTTCTACAGCCTCCGCTCAGAACCTTGTAGCACCATCCTCCGCCAGCTTGGCTTCTTGGGCACCTCTCAAGATACACTCACCCGCCTGCATACCACCCAAAACTAGCACCACAGCAGCGGTTGGTATGTCAGAAGGAGTTATTCGCATCCGTTTGAAGAAATGAGTGATCTTGCGCCCAACCATTATTGCCAGAGGATGTAGATAACAGGGATATGTCTCAGACGGGCAACGTACACACATGGGCTGATGCGGTGTATTGATGATGATGATGTTGTACCAGCTGCCAACTTTACTTTGCTGAGTTGTCAGATACAAGTGAAGCGGTTGATGATGACGATGCGTCCATGTGGATATCCGCGTGGGTGCCCGGCACAAATCAAGAGAAGAACAGAGGCGAAAGTTCAGATGGGGGAGACAGGAGGGAGGAGGGAGACGAGTTGGAAGCAGGGGGAAATTAAAATGCGCAGGAGCTGAGTGCTTTGTGGTCGGAGCAGCATGCATTGACACCCGGGGTCAGCCCGACAGCACGCCAATCAACGCATGCTGTGTCCACCACCAGAATGCCGTCATTGCAGAACTCAGCAGTGTGGAATTTTTTTTGTGTGTCTGCCTCTGACAACAGCGATGCCATTTGCAACCTGTGCCAAAAGAAACTGAGTCGTGGGAAGTCAAACACCCACCTAGGTACAACTGCTTTGCGTAGGCACATGATCTCACATCACAAACGCCTATGGGATCAACACATGAGTACAAACAGCTCGCCTACTCTAAGCCGCCAGCCTCCTCCTGGTCCAGCATCTTCAGCCACGTCAACCACTGCTGTCCTCCTTGTCCCCTCTCAACCATCCGCCACTCCGCCTCCCGCCTTGAGCAGTTCACGCTCATCTTCCCACAATCATGTGTCTGTCAAGGACATGTTTGAGCGTAAGAAGACAATGTCAGAAAGTCACCCCCTTGCCCAGCGTCTGACTGCTGGCTTGTCCGAACTATTAGCCCGCCAGCTTTTACCATACAAGCTGGTGGAGTCTGAGGCGTTCAAAAAATTTGTAGCTATTGGGACACCGCAGTGGAAGGTACCCGGCCGAAATTACTTTTCGCAAAGGCAATCCCCAACCTGTACTCAATTGTGCAAAAGGAAGTAATAGCATCTCTGGCACACAGTGTTGGGGCAAGGGTCCATTTGACCACTGATACCTGGTCTGCAAAGCATGGTCAGGGCAGGTATATCACCTACACTGCGCATTGCAGGTAAAACCTCGGCTGCTGCCAAGCGTGGGTGCATGAAACCTGCAGAGGAGTTGGTGACACCGCCTTCCCGCGACTTGCAGGCAGTCCTGCTGCCACCTCCTCTACTCCTCCTACTCCATCCTCTTCCGCCAACCTCCCTCGGCTGAGTCCTCTTCTGCTGCTGCGTCTTGCTCCACATCAGCGGCACACCCAGCTCCCCAGGTACTATTCCACATCCCGGATACGGCAGTGTCACGCCGTCTTGGGTTTGACTTGCTTGAAAGCAGAGAGTCACACCGCACAAGCACTCCTGTCCGCCCTGAACGCACAGGTGGAAAAGTGGCTGACTCCGCAGCGACTGGATGTCGGCAAAGTGGTTTGTGACAACGGAACAAATTTGTTAGCGGCATTGAAGTTGGGCAAGTTGTCACATGTGCCGTGCATGGCACATGTGTGTAATCTGATAGTACAACGCTTTGTGCATAAGTACACAGGCTTACAGGACGTCCTGAAGCAGGCCAGGAAGGTGTGTGGCCATTTCAGGCGTTCCTACACGGCCATGGCTCACTTTGCCGATATCCAGCGGCGAGAAACAACATACCAGTGGTAGCTTGATTTCGCGACAGCCCGACACGTTAAATTCAACACTCCCTAATGTTGACCGCCTGCTCCAACAAGAAAAAGCGTTAATGAATATTTGTATGACCGGGGTGCTAGGACAGCTCACAGAATAGAATTTTTGCCGCGTTATAGATGGCTCATGCATAGTACCCTGTAGGCTCTAATGCGTCCTTTTGAGAGTGACAAATTTGTCAGTCGCACCGAAGGCACCATCAGTGACATCATACCATTTGTTTTTCTTCCTGGGCGTGCCCTGCGAAGGTGCTGGATCAGGCCTAAGATGGCGTGAAGGGGAGGAAGAGTTGTGGTCACCATCACCTCCAGAAACAGCCTTATCAGCAGCATCGCTTGCTGGACCTAGGCAGCTGGAAGAGGATTGTGAGGAAGAGGAGTCAGAGGAGGAATGTGGCTTTGAGGAGGAGGAAAAGGAGGAGCAAGACCAACCACAACAGGCATCCCAGGGTGCTCGTTGTCACCTATCTGGTACCTGTGGTGTTGTACGTGGCTGGGGGGAAGAAAATACCTTTATTGACATCAGTGAGGAGGAGGAACGGGAAATGAGTAGCTCGGCATCCAACCTTGTGCAAATGGGGTCTTTCATGCTGTCGTGCCTGTTGAGGGACCCTGGTATAAAAAGGCTGAAGGAGAACGACCTGTACTGGGTGTCCACGCTACTAGACCACCGGTATAAGCAGAAAGTGGCGGAAATGTTACCGAATTACAACAAGTATGAAAGGATGCAGCATTTGCAAAATAAATTGAAAAGTA